CTTTGGCAGGTGTTCCCTATTATACTTATTGTGACCCCTCCAACCATTCAGTGCTTAATAGACCAAGGGACAATTCATCACCATTTTACATGAATGTTGTACTCAACATACTGGCTGATTCATATATACAACCAAAAACTGACTTGTTCAAAACCAGATTCAATCAGCACGGGTGAGAGTCTCTTCTATCTGTTGGTGTCAGATGTTCAAAGACAGAAAACATAGTATAAAATGCATGGTTTTGAGGGGAACCAGAACTTTCAAAGGGTTACTTATCGTTGCTCTTTCTGAGCCACTGGAACAAGGTAATGGATGATTTCTAAATGCTATCAACTCCAACAATCAATGTGTGTTTGTGAAGTAATGCCAAGTCATAGCTTACCCCATAGGGTTTTCAAGGCAAGAGACAAACAGAGGTGGCTAGTCAGTGCCTGCCTCCACATAGCAATCCTGGACTCCCTTGGTGGTGTCTCATCCAACTACTAACCAGAGCCAACCCTGCTTAGCTTCTGAGATCTAACAAGACTGAGCGAGCCTGAGCCATCCAAGTCAGAGCCCAAGAATCCATATCCTATCTTAATTTTCTAATATTTAGGGTGTGTAAGAGTTAGGGTTGGAAGATTACAGTTTTTATACTTCTTTTTGCTATGTCCTTGCTAAATCCATTGTGCTTGCATATACTGTGCGTGCCTTTTGTTTTCTTCATCATATTTCATCACTTTTAAATGTGGTCGTTCTCTGTGACTCACATCAAAGCCCATGTACAATTATGCATACCAAAAGTGGGAAGGAGAGGGGCTCTAGTCCCCTAGGGTGCTTGGACTTCTCTACTAGAAGGCGAAGGAGACAAAAAAGACTGAGCTGTTCCTTTAGTCAGTTAGTGGCAAAAGGTGCTTGACCTCAAGTCTTTAGGCAGGACATGTCCTAATAATTGGCCTGATGGTGACGGTGATACCCAAAGTGTGAAATCAGGAGTAGAGAACAAGAAGCATAACTGAGCAGAACACTGGTGATGACAGAGTAGGCTCTGAGTAGTTCTTTTCCTCCCATGTGGGCGGAAACAAAGGCCTGTGAATCCAATTTCCCCACAACTGGGTAATGCATTTCACTGTGGGAAAAGCTATTCGACTGGAGGAGCCCTTTGTCATCCATTAGCATTGGCTTCACTGAGGCTGCGATCACATGCACCAGTTGAAACACCTCTAATAAGAATTGTTGGAAATGCAAAAAAAAATGTAGGTACATTTATACATATGTGGTGGAAGTGCGAAAAAGTACAAAGGTATTGTAAAAAAATATACAGAATGATAAATGAAATTACAGAAGAACAAATTCCATTTGTACCAGAAATAGCTCTATTGAATATGCTTCCGGATATGTATAATAGAACGAATAAATATGTAATTATATGTCTTTTTACAACAGCTAGACTACTATTAGCCAAAAAATGGAGAGAAGAAGAATTGCCCTCAAAGAAATAAATAATTGATAAAATACTGTCAGTAGTAGAAATGGACAAATTGAGTTTAATAATAAAAGGTACTAGCAAAGAGACTTTTGATAAAAGATGGGGAAAGTTCTATGTATGGTTGGGTAAAGAGAACAGTTAAGACTCACAAGTATGAGAAATGTAAACCGATGATATGATGTATACTGAAAATTATAAATAAACTTTAAAAAAAAGAAAGTTGGAGATAATGCTATCAGAATCCTAAAAGATATTCCATTTGAAATAAGACAAAGGAGAAAGAAGTACAAAGCTTTAATTCTTTTTCTCCAGACAAGCACAATTGGATACAGATGGCTAACACCAGAAGGTGTGATCTTCAAAATCAAGGATAAAAAGGAAAAGGTTGACTCTGTTCAGAAAGCACGGGATTTTTTGAGAGTCCAGATGGGAGAGCCAGAGGAGGAAGAAAAAGAAGGGATGGACAGTAAGTCCAGTGGCGAGCTGGACTCGGGGTCTTAAAGTTATGACTCACAAATATGAGAAATGTAAACCGATGATATGATGTATACTGAAAATTATAACTAAACTTAAAAAGAAAAAGAAACAGAGGGGAAGCGAGGCTATTTCCTCCAGAAGAATCTGACAAGCAGTCGCGAGATCACACCTCCCTTTGTAGCTGTGGGCTCAGCCCATCACTGTGTGATGAGATGCAACTGTGGGTGGGTTGGGGTTTTTTCTGGCCGTTTTGTTTCCCATGCACATAAATGAGGAATTGCACCTCCGCACTGAGGGGCCCCTATGGAGTATGCGATGATGCACATACTGCGAGGGGGGGTGGCACTGAGCCGGGATGGCATGATCAGACCCTCCCGACATCATGAGAGCGTGCTTGCATGACCAGAGAGGGGAAAATCCATCTGTGGCTCATTGGAACCCATTAGAGCCGGACTTTCCCCAGTGTCTTTTACTCCACGTCTGCAGAGGAGCAGCACGGGTTGCCGACGACTGCGAGATGCTTCCCAGATGTTGCTGTCTGATCGCACCGTTTAGATCCATCAGGCATTTGCACCTATGTCAGATCTAAAGCCACCTGTGATCACAGCCTGGATTTAATTTTGCTGCTTTCCTCCTTTGATTTATGATGCAGCCTAGGAG